TCAAATAAACTACAGCAAGCTTTGACCACCAATTTATCTGATGATTAATGTATAAAAAAATTACCTGTTTGCCCATAGGCGAAGCAAGTAGCCTTGGTGCGTTGGAAAATTATTGGAACAATGGGCTCCACAGTTTCTCGATAGACCTAGATATATATAACATCTTGAGAACAATTAACAAGGCCAAGACACCAAGAGTATTTTACATGGTTTCCACTCTAGATCATGTTCATTACCTCATCATTTGATACTTCCTCATTCAGCACGGCATCAAAGACAAATTCATGATTCTCCACATATTCTGTCAAGTCAACCTGCGGGAAATTGGGATTCAAAGATATTGAGTATTTCACAAAAGAAATTCTGACTACAATGAATTCCAGACAATTATTACCTGTCCATTTAACTTTGGGCACAAGACTACCATATCGGAGGANAAATTCTGACTACAATGAATTCCAAACAATTATTACCTGTCCATTTAATTTTGGGCACAAGACTACCATATCGGGGGATAAATTTGTTAATATTATCCATTATCTAGTGCTTTCGCTGGAGAACAGTGAAAGACAAACAGACCCAATAAAAAGCATGTCTATGACTAATAACTTGAATCCACATTATTCTCTTATTGTGCAAGAAATGAATCAAAATTAATGTGTGCGCAACATGCAGCATTAAGAAATAGGTAACAAAATGAGGGATGAAATTGATTTCAAAGTCACTCACAATAAAAGCAAATAACCAAGAGGAAAAGATTTCCTGAAATGCACAAGGTATAATTGTCAATGAAATCAATCTTTTTGTTTGGCCCTCGTTTTCTAGAACTCACTTTCAACCACACATTCCATAGAACTTACAACTTTTATTAACATTTCAACCACATGTTTCATCAATTTTTATCAAAATCTATTATAAATATGATTTTTAGTTAAACCAAACAGGGGCTTAGATATATTAAACCACCAATCTGAGACCCTGTGCTATTATAAGGAACAATACAGGCTGTCTTATTGACAAAATGAAAAGCATAATTTCACAAATTATAACCAAGAGACATTAAAGAGACCTATGGCTATGGTAGCAATCTTCTTAAAAAAAAATTAAATAAGCACAAAACGATATTGTCACAAACCTTAAGTTTTGTCCCATAGACTAGTGTTAGACTGTGTTTCAATGATATCTTCCTCATTCTTCGACAATTCCTTTTTGTTTAGTGGTCTTTTGCGTACCTGCAAACAATCAATCATAATTGAAAGCAACATTATAGTCTGCAAATAGTTAATCCAGAGCATGGAAGACATTATAGTGGAAAAAATTGCCTCTTGGTGCAAAGATTGCATTTCATGAAACTTATATAGGTTAGTTCAGTTAAAAGATTATATGTAATGTTGATTAGTAATAAAATCAGAAATTAAGAAATTTAGCTACGGGCAGCTACAGGCTAATCGAGAAACAAA